TACAAAAACAACAAAAATACGACGACTCTGGTCTGAAGCTTCAAATTGTCTTATTCAGGGCTTCATGTTTTCTGCCATCTCTCAACAAGCATTTGGATAGCTAGGACTTTTTTCATGTACCTTCTAAATTGCTTCTAGGTAATTACGATTTTTTCCTCCAGCTGACCAATTTCAACGTTTTAACGCTCTCTCAAAACTATTTCCAAGCTTACATATTTAATTTTAATATGATATAAAAATCAATAATTCAACTTTAATAAGTTTCATGCAAACAAACAAACAGATAGACAGACAGACAAACAAACAAAACATATAACAAATTTCAACGTCAGAATGCTAAGGGCAACCAATTAATCAACTTAAATAAAACAACAACATCGTCATCAACAACAACAGTCAACAACAAAAACAACAACCATAACAAATCAAAGTCATTTTTTAATGTCATACTCGGAATGGCTGATGCAAGAAATATTTCTCTATTTGCAGAGAGAATGGTTGGTTGATTGGTTGGTTGGTTGGTTGGTTGATTGGCTGGTTGGTTGGTTGATTGGTTGATTGGCTGGTTGGTTGGTTGATTGGCTGGTTGGTTGGTTGATGAATAATTGGCTGCTCAGTTGGTTAGTTGGTTGTTTGACTAGTTATCATCATCCATAACATCGTCATCATCGTCTTCTTCTTCTTCTTCTTCTTTTCTTCTTCTTCTTCTTCATCATCTTCATCATCATCATCATCGTCATCTTCATCAGCACCGGAAACCTTACGTTACGTCAGTCATTGTTGCTCGCTTATGAAAATCAATATTGTTGTTGCAGATGAATCTATTGGAATCCATACAAATACCTACACACACACACACACACAAACATTCATGCATACATACATACATACATACATACATACATACATACATACATACATACATACATACATACATACATACATACATACTTAGATACAAACACTGTACATAAGAAATTCAATTACAAACAAAACATTTCCATCCGAGCAAGTTAATGTAGCGCAAAATGACAACCAATTCCATTTTTTCCTCACTTTATTTCTTTCTCTCTATCCCTTACTGTTTATTTTTGTTATTTTTTCAATTTCTTCCTTCTTTCTTTCTCACTCTTTTTTTGTTCTTTCTTTTATTTCTTTTTCTCTTTCTTTCTCTTTCATTCGTTCTCTCTCTCTCTCTCTCTCTTCTCTCTTTCCACTTTTCAATTGCTTTTTTAAGAATCAACGCTAAGCTGTATTTTTCCCATTTGGTAGTTCTTCCATTTATCCATATATTTCATCCATCCATCAATTAATTTCTTTATTCATTCATTCACTTGTTCACTCGTTTTTTATTCATTCATTCACTTGTTCATTCATTTATTCAGTTATTCAAGCATTCATTCATTCATTCATTTATTCATTCATTCATTCAATCTTATCAGACCATTCAATCGAATAATAATTGACTGTCATTTTGAAACTCACTTTTTGGTAAATAATAAAATAAGCCAAAAATCAAAAATTTAATAATTTTGTTCGTTGAATACAAATTATGACGTAATTATGTTGTTAATATTAAATGTTTTGAATCATAATTTCTTTTTTATTCGTTCTTTTATAATCCACGGATTCGCCCATTTCTAAAAAAAATTTATTAAATAAACGCAATAATATTTGGAAAGCATGTATGTTTGAATGTATGTATGTATGTATGTTTGTTTGTTTGCATGTATGTATGTGTATATGTCTGTTTGTTTGTATGTATGCGTGTAAGTATTATGTAAGTATGTATATATATATATATATTATATATATATATATATATATATATATATATATGTACTTATGTATGTACGTACGTACGCATGTATGTATGCATGTTTGTATGTATGTATGTTTGTATGTTTGTATGTATGCACAGCTTGAACTTGGCACCCCATACACGCGCGTTCATGTAAATAAGATGTTTGAGAGTCTGGAGAAGTATTGTGAGATTTAGAGTCGAGTTTTGTTGTTGTTGTCGTTGTTGTCATTGTAGTTGTTGTTGATGTTATCGTTGTTGTTGTTCTTGTGTATGTTGTTGATGTTGTCGTTGTTGTTTTTGCTGATGTTGTTGTTTGTTGTTTGATGTTGTTGTTCGTTGTTGTGTATGTTGTTGATATTGTCGTTTATGTTTTTGTTGTTGCTGGTGATGTCCTAGTTGATGTTTTTGTTGTTGATGTTGTTGTTATGACCAAAGAGAGCTGTAGTATTATTATAATGGGTGGGCTGGTAAACCTCTACCCCTCATCTACTATGGCAAAAACAATCCTCTAAATGATTTGCTACTACTACAACTACCACTACTACAATCACTACACAAAACTACTATTACTACTACTACTAATACTACTACTACTACCACTACTACTACTACTACTACTACTACTACTACTACTACTACTACTACTACTACTACCACTACTACTACTACTACTACTACTACTAGTATTACTATACTACTACTACTATACTACTAATACTACTACCGGTACATCTGAAGCTACTACTACTACTACCACTTTTATTATTAGTACTATTACTGTGGCCGCTAGATTGAATAAATTTTTTCAGGCTTCTCAAATGCAATTACTATCTCTACTAGGTCGGCTTTCTGTGGGAGCACGTAAGTTAACGTGTCGACTAGAAATTGTAGAATCATTATCATTGTCGTCATTTTCTTCTTTTATTTTATTCATTTACCTATTCATTTGCTCGTACATTCGTTTATTCATTCACTCATTAATTCAGTCATTTGTTGTTCAATAAATTTTTAAATGAATGAATATAAACTGAATGACGTTGTTGTTTTGAATGAATTTATAAACCAATTAATAAATGTATTAATTAATTAATGAACGAACGAACGAACGAATGAACGAATGAACGATCGAATGAACAAATGAATGATGCAGCCCAATAGTAATAACCACCAACTCACCTAATTTTTCAGCTCTCCTCACAAACACTGTTGCAGCAACAGCATCGCAACACAAAAATGTTGCAGCAACAGCAACAACAACTGCTTTATTTAATGTCATTGTTTAAAACTAATTTTTTTCAATTAAAATATACTTGAGTTAATTAATGTAAACCGCTCATTTTTTTTTATAAAATAAAAATATTATCCATAATAATTTTAATTATTAATATTTATATTATTAATAACAGAAATAAAAATAAATATGTATTAATCGAATTTATAAAGAACCCAAACTGTTTTAACTAAGTTTGAAAAGAGTTCAATCTAAGATGATTCCCATACATCTATTGTCCATTCTCATTGGTCCTCCAGCTCTCTTCGCATGTATGTATATATATATATATATATATATATATATATATATATATATATATATATATATATATATATATATATATATATATATATATATATATATATATATGTATGTATGTATTTGTGTGTGTGAGTGTATTTGTGTGTGTATGTGTGTGTGTGTGTGTGTGTGTGTGTGTGTGTGTGTGTGTGTGTGTGTGTGTGTGTGTGTGTGTGTGTGTGTGTGTAAACTTCATTAAATATTTTTGCCCACTTAGCATTAATTAACTTTTTAAAAATACACTCAACGATTTATTGTTGTGTTAATTAATGCTAGGTGGGCAAAAATATTCAATAAAATTTTATTCGTGTGTATACAACTTTATAATCGTTGTTATTTATATTATTATTACTAATTTTATTATTATTATTATCATTATCATCATCATCATTGTCATCATCGTCCTCTTCATCTTCATAACCATCATTATTGTAGTTATAATTGTTACGATTGTTTATATGATCGGCTACTCGTTTCCGGTTTCGCTAACTTGTTCGCTATTGGCTACAAAATCCATTTCTCTGAAGTACTTCGCAGTACTCTCTACTTCGGGATTATATGTATCCGGAGTTTTTCTAATGTAAGGATCATAAACATCCGTAGAAATTTTCAAGTCAGATTTAACAATAGCGTTTTCTGTAGCAGCTCTATTGACAGTATCTCCTAAAACATTTGTAATAATAGTGGCAGTAGTTGTTGTATCTGTAGTGGAGGTAATTGTGGCTGCCGTAGTAGCGGCTGTTGTCGTAATAAAAGTAGAAGTGGTATTTATGGCTGTAGTAGTAGCAGTAGCACAGTATTAGTTGTAGTAGGGGTTGTAGTAGCAATTGTAGTTGTAATAGTAGTAGTAGTAGTAGTAGTAGTAGTAGTAGTAGTAGTAGTAGTAGTAGTAGTAATAGTGATAATGGTAGCGACTAAATTAGTGTAAGTAAAAGTAGTAGTAATTTGGGTTGTAATAGTAGTAGTAGCAAAAGTAGCAGTAGTAGTAGTAGTAGCGACAACATCAGTAAAAATAGTAGTAGTATCTGTATTGATAATGTTTGTAACTGTTCCAGTTCCTACATGTTGTGTATATGGAAAACCCAAAGTATGATTTTTGTACAGTGTAAAAATATTAATAGCAGCAAGAGTGGCTGCTGTAGTGGCGACAGAATTAGTAGTGGCAGGAGCCGTAAGAATTGTAATTTTATTAGCAAAAATAGTATTTGTAATAGCTCTAGCTGCAGTAGTTGTAGCAGTAGTGGTAGCAGCAGTAGTAGTAGTAGCAGTAGTAGTAGTAGTAGTAGTAGTAGTAGTAGTAGCAGTAGTAGTAGTAGTGGTAGTAGTAGTAGTAGTAGTAGTAAAAGTAGTTGTAGTAGTAGTAGTAGTAGTAGTAAAAGTAGTTGTTGTTGTAGTAGCAGTTGTTGTTGTAGTAGTAGTAGTAATCGTATTAGTAGTTGTGGAAGTAGTGGTAATAGTTGTCGCAGCGCCAACAGTTGTCGTAGTAGCAGTAGTAGCAGCAGTACTAGTATCAGTAACAGCACTACCGGTTGTAGTAGTAGCAGTAATTGCGAATGTTGTGGTTGTGGTTTTGGCTGCAGAAGATTCGTTCGTTTTGACGGTCTGGAGAATGAAAAATAAAAATATCTTCTTCACGTTCTTTAATTTTTTTCTTTGTTAAGTTAAAAATTAGTATTAAAATTGATAATTATAATAAAATAATTATATAAATAATAATAATAATAATGTTACTTTATAAAATTGACAGATAGTTCCAGAAGGATGAAATAATTTCAACTGGTCTATCTCTGAAAACCAAAAACAACCGCTCCTTTTATCAACAACATCACCATCCAAACTACTTCTACTTATCGTAGTATTGTCAGTTGTAGTATAGGTAGTAGCAAGTCTACTAGTAGCCGGGGCAGTAGCAGCAGTAGCCGGGGCAGTAGTAGTAGAAGTAGTAGTAGTAGTTGTTGTTGTTGTTGTAGAAGTAGTAACTGTCAGAACGTTAAAACCGCTACATAAACCAATCCTCATTGAATTGCAAATCCAAGGGCAAAATGTCTGTTTTCTACAATCACCAACATTAGTAGTTGTAGTAGTCGCTGCAAAAGTAGCAGCGAAAGTAGTGGTAGTAACAGCAGCTGTAAGAGTAGTAGTAGTAGTAGCAGTGTCGTCGTTGGCTGCTGCTGGTTCAAAGATTGTAGCGATAGCTCTATCGTAAGCAGACTGTAGCTTAGCAGTTGTTGCTATTGTTGGCACGAGGCTGACGTCATAGATGTTGATATTGTTGTTGTTGTTGATATTGTTGATGAGTTTCAAATAGACCAAATTAGCAATGATAGAATTATCGCCAAATACTTCGGTAACATTTCCCAAAGTAATAGCATTCTGTGTATCAGTAGTTATAGTACTAAAACTGCTACTACTACTACTATTACTATTATCATCATTCTCAAATAAATACAAAATGGCGGCATTTATGACGTCATTGAGGTCCATATTGGCGTCCATACTGCCACAAGATGGCTGCCCGTTATTGGAAAACTCTGGCCGGAAACAGTTGCTTGAAGAAACTGTCATGGCGACTGTTTTGAGAGATTGCTGTTACTATTATTATTATTATTATTATTATTATTATTATAACTAACATTTTATATTAGTAATGTTAATTATATTATTATTATTAAATGTATTTAAAAAAAATGAAATCATAGCGTAACCAACCAGAAGCTAGTAAATTTACACACAAAATAAAGCCCTGATTAAAAACCATGGTCAGTGGTTCTTTGTTATTATTAATTCAGAAACTATTATTAATTCATTAAGAAAGCCAATCTTATTATAAAGAAATAATTTTGGTAAATGAATTTGTGATTTTAAATATGTGTATATCTACATATATATATATATATATATATATATATATATATATATATATATATATATATATATATATATATATATATATTTCATTGTCTAATATCAAACAATTCTTTTAAAAGCATTTTTTCTAACGGAATTTAAATTTTAAAAGAGAAAAGTAATATCGATCGACAGTTAGTATTAATGTAGATTTGTTTAGAGTGCGTTTTTGGTGTGTTTTGTTTGAATGTTTATTTGTTTGTTTGTATGTTTGTTTGTATATGTATGTGT